GATTGCGGTTTTGAGTAATGAACAAGGCTGGGAGTTTTTAAAAGCCTTAGGAATCTTTTGCAGGTGTTTAGAGTTACGTCGTTGATTCAGATGGTTAGTTTAATAGCTTGTTTAGAGAACCTTTTCATGATATGCTAATTTTTTGGGACAGGCATTTTGGGTTTTCATGAGCTGATTATCAGTATTAAAACAATTTAATTGTTTTAATACTGATAATCATCAGTATTAAAACAATTAAAGACCTGAAATATTTCAGTTGGTGTGCAATGAATCTGAAATATATGAAAGTTTAATTTTTATCATTACATTATGGAAAATAATGACCTTTATCACAATATGCTAATTTTTTGAGAAGGACCTGTACAGCTTCAGCAAATAGGCATTTAGCTTAAATAATACGAGGAGAAATTTAAACCAGGAAATGCATGCCTGCATTGTACACCTTAAGATGTATTCACTGGAAGAACAAAACCTGATCTCAAGTGCTTCATTGATCAGCATCCTTAACGATTGAATATTATTGAAGTGTTATGAAAATGAACAACACAGTAACTAAAAAATCTTTACTGTTTTTTATATCTTTATTAGAAGTGGTGGGACTAAAATAAATAAAGTTGGATATTGCTCAGTTAAAGGAACTACATGAGACTAAAGATGAAATGTTGAAACGGAGGCTGAACATGTGTTGTGGACTTGTATGAATGCGGACCAGCGGTTGGTGTTTGCTCGGTGATTCAGATGTAGTAATAACCATGGATACAGGTTTCCCTCAGCTCTTCTACAGGGCAGCAGAGCTATTTAGACAGAAGAAGGTGGATTCTGTGCAGCTTTGATCTCCATAGCAGCTGAGTGTGAGTAATGAGACGAGACATCGAGGCTCTTCCGGGTCAGTGTACACGTCACAGTCCGGAGAGTCCAGCGTTGTAAAGCTGTAATCTTCTGCCTTTTTTTTTTTAATATAATTGATAAAACTTAATGGACGTTTCCTTGATTTATTTGTTAGCATGAGTTGCCACTTCTGAGGGAGGTTCGAGCCGGGGGTAAAGACGTGGGCTGGAGGGGGTTTCCGGATCCGGTGGCCCACGGCCAGCTCCCGTCTTTAACAGTACCAGTACTGAGTAATTAATGAATGTGTGCATAAACATTACACAATGTCTTTTGGAAACACATTTGTTTTGTTAAGAACACAGCAAAGAGTCTACTCTCTAACCATCACCTGTGTTTTTAAAAAATGTCTCTAAACTGGACTTATTTTTTTGTCCTTCGTTACTTGCGAAGTGGAAGAGGAATTGACATGACCAAGCATAAAAGTGGTATCTGTTTGAATATTGGGGTGTTTATATGATTACAGTATGAGTACTTGAGGCTGTATTGGGACATCACTAGATTGAACACATCAATTTATTTCTCTAAAGACAGAAAAAAAATCATACCGTTCTTTAAAGGAATGAATATCGTTCATACCAGTTTTCTGAGAATTTCATTTATTCTGTCCAATTTATCATGAAATATTTTGCTAAAAGTGTTGATACCATCAATTACCTGAGTTTTAAACTCACTGTATGCGTTGCGAATGACTTTCAGCTACTACCACACCTGTGTGTTTCCGATGGTCTGTTAGCTGTGGTGGCTGTCTTGAATTTGGTTGTAGATTTAGTGCATCTGGAACGTATTCAGAGCGCTTCAGTTTTTCCACATTTTATGGTACACCCTTATTTCAAATTGTATTAAGTTAATCTCTTTTCTCAACATTCTACACAGATTTAAGACAATATGAAAAATATTTAAGATTTTTGCAAATTTATTAAAAATGGAAAACTAAGAAATTACATTTCCATAAGTATTCACAGTCTTTGCTTCATACTTTGTTGATCCACCTCTGGCAGCAGTCACAGCCTCCAGTCTGTTTGAAAATGATGCTACCAGCTGAGCACACCTATCTTTAGGCAGTTTGTCCCATTCTTCTTTGCAGTACTTTTCAAACTCCATCAGGTTGGATGGGAGAGGTATGTGCAGCCATTTTCAGTTATCTCCAGAGATCCTACCATTATACAAGAGGGGCGCCCCACCCTGTCAACAGAACAGAGTGCCCTGCCTACCGAGCTCCCTCCCCCCTCCTGTCAACAACTGCCGGTATTGATGTAGCACAGGGCGCAATGCAGGAGATATCATATTTCTCCAGTTTTAGTTTCTCTCCATTGGCTCCCTGTCAAGTCCAGAATAGAATTTAAAATCTTACTTCTAACCTACAAAGCTCGCAACAACCTGGCTCCATCTTATTTTTCCATATTTTCCTAACAGAGCACTTTGCTCTCAGACTGCAGGTTTACTTGTGGTTCCTAGAATTTACAAAAACAGAATGGGAGGCAGATCTTTTAGTTATCAGGCTCCTGTCTTGTGGAACCAACTTCCAATCTCTGTCCGTGAGGCTGACACATTATCCAGTTTTAAAACTAGGCTTAAGACTTTCCTTTTTGCTAAATCCTATAGTTAGGGTTGGCTTGGGTTTCCTGAGCCGTCCCTTAGTTAGGCTGCTATAGGCTTAGACTGCTGGAGGACAAACTGACCACAATTTTCACTCTACTACCGTCTTTACTTACTCTGCTCAACCTGTTTTGTATTTGTAATTATTTTTTCTATCCTTAACGTGTGTTCTTTTTGTCTTTCAGGTACACCTGGACCTATACCTGGACCTACCATTCTATGTTCGTCTGTCTCCTTCCTGTCCTCTCAGCCAGCCGGTCAAAGCAGATGGCCGCTTGTCCTGAGCCTGGTTCTGCTGGAGGTTTCTTCCTTTTAAAAGGGAGTTTTTCCTTTCCACTGTTGCCACTGTGCTTGCTCAGGATGGGAGACTGCAACAAAGCCAATATTCATATTGTCTGCTGGATTCCTTAGATAGAGAACTTTACTAATTGGCTTTTATGTATGTGAATGTTTCTGTAAAGTGCCCTGAGACTACTTTGTTGTGATTTGGCGCTATATAAATAAACTGAATTGAATTGAAGTTGAAATGCACTAGTAAATATGCTACTGGCATACCGCTCCGCATCCACGCCCCTCCCCCATTTATTAAAACCGACAGTAACATCCCATAGCATGATGCTGCCACTACCATGCTTCACTGTAGAGATGGTGTTGTTCTGGTGATGAGTGGTGCCTGGTTTCCTCCAAACATGATGCCTGACCTTCACACCAAAGAGTTCAATCTTTGTCTCATCAGACCAGAGAATTTAGTTTCTCATGGTCTGAGAGTCCTTCAGGTGGCTTTTGGTAAACTCCAGATGAGCTGCCATGAGCCTTTTATTAAGGAGTGGCTTTCATCTGGACACTCTACCATACAGGCCTGACTGGTGGATTAATGCAGAGATGTTTGACCTTCTGGAAGGTTCTTTTCTCTCCACAGAGGAACGCTGGAGCTCTGACAAAGTGATCATCGGGCTCTTGGTCACCTCCCTGACTAAGGCCCTTCTCCCCCAATCACTCAGTTTAGCTGGCCAACCAGCTCTAGGAAGAGTCCTGGTGGTTCCATACTTCTTCCATTCATGAATAATGGAGGCCACTGAGCTCATTGAGACCTTCAAAGCAGAAGAAATGTTTCTGTATCCTTCCCCAGATTTGTTCCTCAACACAATTCTGTCTCGGAGGTCTACAGACAATTCTTCTGACTTCATGCTTTGTGTTTGTGCTCTGACATCATTGTCAGCTGTGGGACCTTCTATAGACAGGTGAGGGCCTTTCTAAATCAAATCCAGTCAACTGAATTTACCACAGGTGGACTCCATTTAACTTGTAGAAACATCTCACGGACGATCAGTAGATTAATCAGTGTTCGTGCTGCTGTTGTTTGAAACATTGTTTTGTACTATTAGTGTTCAGTAAATTCTTAGTTTAGCATATTTCTTAGTTCATAGCTTAGATCTTATTACTGTTTTCCTTTACATTTTGTATTTTTGTTGGATGTTACTGGGACCATCATAGTTTTGTACATAGTTTTGTTCCACCTCATGTACCACATGTGATGCGAATGACAAAGACACCTTGACCTTGGAAACAGGAGGCATCTGAGCTCCATTTGTAGCTTCATGGCAAAGACTATGAAGTGGGAGTGGTGGCACAGAGGTTAGAGAAGATAGGCCTGTGATCGGAAGGTCGCCACTTCAAGTCCTCGTACTGGTAACATCAAACGTGAGTGAGAAAGGTGAAGCACCCACACCTGACTCCACTACCATTTGCTCCACTCTGGGTCCTTTAGGGCAAGGCCCTTAACCCCCACCATCTGCTTCCCTGGTTGACCTACATAGCTCTGCTCCACACAGAAGGCTGTGGTAACTCGATGGTCTGTGGTTGCATCAGGAAGGACATCCAGCGTAAAATTATTTTTTTCCACATTGTCATAATTGTGTATTGTGTGTAGAATTTTGAGGAAAAGATTACTGTAATACAATTTTGAATAAGGCTGTAATGTAACAAAATGTGGAAAAAGTGAAGCGCTGTAAATAATGCACTGTGCATCCAATGATTTCTTTCTGAGAGTTTCATTAAAATCTTTCCACTGACATATATTTTGCTGACAGCAGCAATGGAACATAGACAAATCTACACCTATTTTTCTTTTGTCTTATCAGTGGACTTAACAGTGCACAGTAATAAAATTAAGTATTCTGAACACATGATGCTATATGGGATCTGAGAGGATATGAAAAACATTTTCAGAATAAAAGTGTGTATTTTTTTTCCTTTTTCCTCATGCTTGTTTCTTCAAAACAGCTTCACTGTTGACACTTCCAGTAGGTGACATGAAATATTAAATTGTGGGCGAGTTGTTTTTTACATGCAGATATGTGCTTTACTGGGTTTCTAGGGCAATCCTGTGTGCACGGTCTCAGTACTTCCGCGCTATGCTCAGTGGAAGCTGGATGGAGAGCTCTAGACAGTGCATCACTCTGCAAGGGTAAGACAGGCACACCATCATCATCCAACAGCAGGAAGCAGAAGTCAGTAACACTCCTCATCCTCGTGGTCTAACTCTTCCACAAATCAATTCAGAACAATAAAGCTGATGTGCAACATGCACTGTATGAATAATTGATACCTTCCCACAGACCTGGCTCGGTGGGGTTTCGCCAACTCTATCAGGTTTTATTTTATATCTCCAAACACATTTAAACACAGCCTCTTTCTGCTAGTGGAATCTCAGAGTATGTATGGATTCCTGCCAAGCAAAGTATTTCCTCTGTATTCACTGCCTGTTGAAGATCCCATCACTACCACCCACAGTTTCTTTCTTTCAGCACAGCAAAGGCAGTTTAAAAAAAAAAAAAATAATATATATATATATATATATATTTATTTCCTCCAGGGAGAAAAGCGTCACTCTTTCCATCGTCTTTGATCTGAGGGTAATGGAGGAAGACATGACTGTCAGAATGGTCAGGGAATCCTCAGAGATGGTCCTTAGGCTGCATTCAATAAAATGTGGGCTTTGTATACAGGGTTCTTAGTCTGAGCCCCTTCAGGAAAAAATAAACCATAACAATGCAATTTATACTGAGAGTAACAAAAAGGTGGAACTGTAAAAGTTTGATTGTCATTTAGCAGCATCCATACAGTTTTTATGTTTATAATTTCTTCCATATGCTTTTTTTTAATGGTTTTGATGATTTTAGCCTTCAGCTATGGTTGTGATGATTTTAGCTTTCGGCTATGGTTTTGATGATTTTAGCTTTCGGCTATGGTTTTGATGATTTTAGCTTTCGGCTATGGTTTTGATGATTTTAGCCTTTAGCTACAGTTTTATTTTTAGCCTTCAGTTATGATTTTGATGATTTTTTTGCCTTCAACAATAGTTTGGGGTTTTTTTGTCTTCAGTTTTGATGATTTTAGCCGTTGGTCTTGATTTTAAAGACTTCAACTGTGGTTTTATAGAGTTATCTTTTAGTTATAGTTTTGATTATTTTAGCATTTAGCTAATGTTTTGATGATTTCAACCTTTAGTTATGGGTTTGATTTTAAAATTTTGCTACAATTTTGCTCTTTATTTAGGCTTTAGGAAGCTGTTTGGCTGGTTTTATTTTTTCGCTGTTCTGCCAATTTTATCTCATGTTCTGAATGATTTAGCTTTAACAATTTGGTTTCAGCTTCTTTAAAATTTAGCACACAGCATTCACAGCTTGTAAACATTTTATTTTAACTTTTTCAGCTTAGGACCGGAGGAAATGGAAATCTTGCTCCAGTTCATGTACGGAGCCATCGTGGATCTGCCCAGTGGAGCTAACGCCAGGTACTGTACGTGCGAGGCAGGAGGAAAAAATGAGCTGAGCTGTTTGTAATGTCTCCCTTCTTCCAGCCAAGTGGTGCTGGCTGCAGATATGTTGGGACTGGAAGGACTCAAAGACGTTGTGGAGATGGTTCTTACCCGGGATTACTGCCGCTTCTTCCCCAAGGTTGGTGTTGCATATGTACTGAACGTGCTAAAGTTTTTTTTTTTTTTCATTTTTTTATTTATGTAGTTGTAGAAGTGGTAGAATTTGGATGTTTTGGAGAAGAAAAAAAGAAAACTTTGACTTTTTACCTTATTTTCTTTACAAAATAATGCCCAACTACAACTCACATTAATCTACTGAACTTATTTGATAAATGTACATGTTTCTTGTCTCAAGACTCCTTTTCACACCATCTTATGTGCCTGTGCTAGTGTCTCTTGACTACGTCTTTGAAAATACCTGTTTTTATTTCTCTCTATTTGCAGCCAGTTGATGGTGTTCAGAAAACAATCATTGAATGCCTGTCGCTCACACATGTCCTTGGCCTCGAGAACCTCTACACACTGTGTAAAAGGTGAATCTGCATTTGGCACCAGCTGACTTGTTTATTTTCTCCTCAGTAGCTGTCACATGACAAATGATAGGCTTGTTCATGTGTGAGATGTTTTAAAATCCTTTTAATCACTGATCCTAGAATTATGAATGTTTTCATGTCCAGCAATGCGTTTTTCTTTTTGTTCTTAACATTTTTTTATTCTTGTAAACCAAACCCAGTGTACTGTTTTGTTCCTTTGGTTTCTTCTGTAGCTGATAAGACAACAAGCTATGAGCGAGTTGTTAACTGTAGCGAGCAAATGAATAGTCAGGACAAAGGAACGCACTGGATTAGAAGAGGAGCTGGTTCTAATGGTTCCAACAAAGTGCTTTGTGTGTGTGTGTGTGTGTGTGTGTGTGTGTGTGTGTGTGTGTGTATATGTGTGTGTGTGTGTGTGGGTCTGTGTGTGTGTGGGGGGGGGGGGGTGCTCTGATGGTAATCCAAGCAGCACCGTCGTCTGAAGCAGAACGTTTCTCATCCTCACATATTTTGTGGTTTCCTTAAGTGTGAACTGCACCCCCGCATTTACGTTACCCTACTCATACTGACCTGTCAGTTTCATCACAGATGTAGTGTTGTACAGGTCCTTCTCAAAAAATTAGCATATTGTGATAAAGGTCATTATTTTCCATAATGTAATGATAAAAATGAAACTTTCTTATATTTCAGATTCATTGCACACCAACTGAAATATTTCAGGTCTTTAATTGTTTTAATACTGATGATCATGGCATACAGCTCATGAAAACCCAAAATGCCTGTCCCAAAAAATTAGCATATCATGAAAAGGTTCTCTAAACAAGCTATTAACCTAACCATCTGAATCAACGACGTAACTCTAAACACCTGCAAAAGATTCCTGAGGCTTTTAAAAACTCCCAGCCTTGTTCATTACTCAAAACC